ATATATATATATATTAATTAATGGCTTAGCTGAAATACAAACTATTTCCTATTATTATTAATTGGTTTTGGAATCAAACACTTGCATATCTTTGAACTTCTTTAATACAAATAAAGGTGCTCACTCTAGCTGCTTTTACCACGCTGGCTTGCCACACGCTTGGATCAAATTTTCTGTAGTAGAAATAATTGTGCTATAGATTATTTGTATATTTCCATAAAAACAAAAGAAATTTGTGTGTAGTTTCAGTTGATTTATTTATTCGATAGGGCGGCGGTAGTCATAATTTAACAACTCTGGAACTACAAATTTGGGGACTCTAGCTCTGTATTAAAAATGTTAAGTTATGGAAGAGTACAGATTCATAAATATTACAGTATAAGTATTAAGGGTGTTATGAGGAATGTGTTAAAAATCATAGAGGTAGTTATATATAAATATATTCGGGACTTTTTATAATTAATAAAGTTGTCCTTCCTAATCCACTTTTAATGGGTCTCTAATAAAATTATGGAAATTAAAGCTTTGCAAAGCCAGCCGGACGATTTAAGCAGTGTTCGCTCATCTCTCATTTTATATGACTAAAAGGGACTTTTATTGGTCACAATCAACCATTTATAAAAATAAATATAAAATGTTCTTCCCAATAATGAAATTGGGTTGCGAGAGATTAATTGAGCCCAACTGTTCTAGATTAACTGTGTTCCCCGCTTGTCAACAATTAACTAACGTCTATTGGTTGTTCTGTTTCTCAACTGTTTTGCTGGCTGTTGATACAGTTGTTCCCAAGAGCCAGCTGTTGACTCATATGAGTTTCTATTGAATCGGGCTGTATTTATGCTTACCTCAAACGCATGTAAATAAATATCTGGTTATTTGTAAATTGAGAAAACGCTGATGAGCAGCTACGGATCTACTATTTCAGTAAGCACAAAATTCACAAAGAGCTCAACAGGTCACATGTGCTAGGTTTCACGGCTGTTCCGATAAAGGCCTCGGGGTCTCTGACTTCCTCAATAGCAGCCCGAAGTTTGTGTTGCTGCGCTAATTTCTGGGGGTCATCTGCCGATTCTGTTCGAGTTCGAGTTCGAGTCGGAGTCGATGTGCTACTCTCTCGTCGAGTGCTCTACTCATGGACACGTTTAAAGCATTTGGCTAACAGTTTTTTTGTCTACGGCAAAATAGATTTCTACACTTAGCCCACAAACAGCATTTCGTCTCGCGGCGAGTTGAATTGCCTCGAGGCTATTATAAGCTGCAATTCACATCAATTAAAATTATGCCATTTGCCGCAAGTATACAACACCGAAAACAAGCAAAATATATACAACTTTTCAACTTTTAGACACACAAAATTAATTGCGGGTCAATGCAAAAAAAGTGAGAACAAATTTGCCACCAAAATTTCAATTTACCTCAAAAATAAATAAAGTGAACTGACAGTGCACACAAATTGTCTGAAACGAGAAAAGCGAAAGAAAAAATTTCAGTTCAGTTGCTAAAAATAAAATTAGATCAAAAAAGAAATAAGAGAATATTAAAACTGAAAAAAAAAGTTTTCGACATATTTTAAATCTAAGTAAAATTAAAAGATCGATCTAGCCATACCTGTCTGTCTGTAAGTTTAGTTATATAGAAATCTCAGAGACTATACGAGCTAACGACTTTTACGCAACTTCTATGGCTCACGTAGTTGTGTTTGTTTGAAAATATCTATAGTTTCTAAATCCAGTTATTAGACATATCTTACAGCTTATAAGAGCTAGAGACACCATCAGTAAGACTCTCGTACAGTTCACTGAAATCGAGAATATTTAACTTTTTGATCACCCTTAAGATTTCATAAAGATCGGGCAAGTCACGAAAACCTATATATATCCTGATCAGACGACGAGAGCAGGCTGACATATATCTTCGATATTTTTTCTGATTTCCATAATATCGTTAAGTAACGAAACATGGTTTTCAATTACATCTTGGCGATCAAAAGAGTTAAGAATAACGTGTTTGGATTGTAGGTTCACGTATATCCAACATAGATAATAGTATATAAAAATAAGAGAAAAAATCGTATTTTCAAACTAAAACCCTTGCACTTTTATACGCACAGAATTAAGTATAGGTAATGAAACTCTTCACGAATGTTTCTATTTCTTTGTTTATCAAAGAGTACACCATTTTTCAGAGTCTCAATGTTTTATTATTTCTACATGTACAAATTAACTCCGATATAAGTTCTTTGTATATATAATAATAAATGCGGTTTTATGCGCACACATAATTATTTGCATCCGCTTAATTAATTGTTAATTTCTTATGCCAGTTTTATTTTGATAACATATTGTGCCTGTTGCATAGATTTTCAATAAGTTCTCCCAAGAGAGTCTTCAGTGTGTGCCTAAGGCAATTAATATACCCTTTGCTGTAACCTATTTTTAATGGGTACAGGGTATAAATAGATGTCGCAGGCCTCTCGCTCGCGTTGCGCTGCAACTAGAAGTCGTCCGAAGATGCATCGCATCTAGACAACATCTCGCAGAGGGGGGAGCTGGAGGCCTGTGCGGTTAATCACCTAGAAAAGCAACCCCAGATATTGAGAGTGGGGCCATCTCACCAGTCCCCCTAGGCATTACTTCTAAATTTAGAATCACTTTATATTTGTTTTTTTTTCTTTTTCTGTCGTTGGGTTGATTCGTTGGTTTCGTTATGCTTGCTCTCTTATGTTCTCGTTGCTTGTCGCTGCGCATAATGTGAGCATAATTGTTGCATTGCACCTGCCTCGAAATCCGAAGACTTCATACAACAGAACAGTCAACTGTGGCGGCTTATGGAGCCCCCTTCTCAAGTCTTAATAAATCGCAAAGTCTAAGCCTTAAGCTAACTTTTCATTCTTCGCCACCTTTGAGTCGTCGGTTCATTTGTCTACCGTAGGCATTGTAATTGCATTTAATATTGCGACATGAAAGCTTTCCTAATGATGCTGACCATCATCACGGATTGCGGAATGATGAGCAGGTCAAAGGCTGTCTACATTGACAGTGGCGTTCCCAGACGGAAAACTAGTTGTCGTGGCAGGGCAGGGAGCAGCCATCAGGTCATCATCTAACCCACATTAAGCAAAAACAGTTACTGAGAAAAAGTATCTAGAATAGCAATCAATAAAGTCTCAAATATGTGATTATAGGAATAATAAAAAAATAACACATAATACGGAGTAGAAATACGGTTAAGCTACCCTAAAAATCAAGAACATTCCGCATATTCGACTCTGTTTCTTTATAATCATCGAAATATGCTCAGGAACTTTGTTTAAAAATATGATATATTTCAAACGCTTCGACAAACGAACAGATGATCGATTTGTTGTCCTGATTAAGAATGTATATATATACTTTATAAGGTTATAGACGATTTAATTAGCATGTGTACATTTGGACAGCTGCAAGGCTCAGTAAAATTTGTACGGGCAAAGCCGGTGATTACTAGTTGCTCTCATTTATTAGAGTTAGTTTGGTTCCACTTTTCTCGTTGTCATTCTCTCTGGTGTTTGTGTTTGCGTTTGCTGGTCGGGCATCCGACGTAGTGGCCTATCCCTCCAAAAAGATCTCAATTGATCCCCGGGGTGTTATTGTGCTATTAGCAGCACGCCAGCTTCAGTTGGACTTGTTTTCCATGCAGAGTTCGTCCTCTCCGCTCCGCCCTAAACTCCATGCTTGAAGGCCCTTTGAGGTGCCTGTGAGCCGTTCTGTTCTCTTGTTTGTCAGCTAGATATACACATAATAAATAATACCCCTAGCCACACTTCATGCGACTCTCGACAGTCCTTCTAGCTTCCTAGCCGTGCATGTGTGTGTGTGCATGTGTGTGTCGGTGTTAGAGAGCCTTAAAGTTTGCTTTGGCCCCTCCAAGCTACGTGCTTAAGTGAACTTAGTTGTTGCTGCAGCGTTGACTGATTGTTTGGCTTAAATTTGTTGCTTGTTCCTTAAGGTGGGCGTGTTGCGCGGCTGTTGTGCGGATATTTGCTGGTTTCTAGGTTAATTAGTTGGCCAGGTCCGTTGAACTTTAGCAGGTAGCTCTCCGCGTGGAGAGAGCCGGGCACATTTCTGTAATTTTGAGTCATCTCTCAGTTCGTGAATTTTTTTATCTAAGCTCAAACACGATAAAGCAATACAAAAGTCAACACTCTTAAAGATAAACTGTGCCCAAGTCCATTCTGTGTGCAGTTGTGCAAGCGAAATAACTAAAAAAACAGGTACACAGATAAACGAGCCAAAGAACAGCCGAGACAGCCAACTGCCGCCAGATAGCGCAGATAATCGCAGTAACCACTTCAGGCGTCGAATTCTATGCGCAGTCTTTAGATAAGACACAAATTCTGCTCTGTGCACACAACAGTATGCTTATCGTCAAGTTATGTTGTTCCTCTTGTTGGCTTCTATCCAATGGATATTCTCCTGCTACAATTAGCGGAGGCTCTTCGAATTTGATTTTTTGTGAACTTTATAGTTTTTTTCGCGGCAAATATCAACACTATCAGCACAAACCTTTCTGTCACTTAACATGAGCAGGGTGGCCCCACACAATGGTCAGAGTTGCCAACTTTGAGCAACTGACGATTGCCTAAGGCCACACGAACAACAAATCATCAATCAAATTAGAATCCAGCAGAACAACTCTATAAAGAGTCTACCAAGCGCTTAATTAAATCAACTTCTTGACGCAGACAGCGTAATTCTTTTCTGGTTCTTCCCTGGCCTTAGATTCCATCTGGAAAAATACATCTAAGATCTTAGTGCAGAAAGAATTTCTAGAATCGTTTAGTTCTCGATACATATCTATTGTTAATGCTAAATAAAGGAAAACTTTCAGTGATATTTATCCAAATTGAACTATAAACATAGCAGCAAGAGGATAAAGTGGTTCGATTTCCAAATTGGACTCGTTCATATATGACAGTCCGATATGTGGACCCGTTATCAGTTCGTTGTTAAATTTATATATTTATATTTATTCAGTTTGGAATATTTTCTTTAACATGTAGTACATTTAGGAGCAGGATTTAAAATACTTTCTAAAAAGCATGCTGAAATGTGAAGTAAAGTTTGTATCAAGATCAACAGGAATAAAAAATCTTAGATAGCCAAGAAGTTGAGTAATCAAAAAGAGCAACCTGCCAGTGCCTGCCTTTGCGTGGCGTCAGTTGTTCCGGGTTCTGCGACATTCTGTTGCATAATTGAACACCTATTCTTATTATTCACCCTTTTTTTTTGCTCCCCACTCAGCACTAGCTGTGCCCCAAGGCCCCGAGTAGCACCGGGCTGGCGAAGAGGTTCCTGCGCAAACGCCGCTGAGTTATGGCGGCATTTAGACGTGCGCCCAGACTGGCTTTAACTACTGCTGAAAGAAGATTGCCCGCCGCATTAGATGGTTAGAGATTGCGAGGACGGCATTTCTTGAAATTATGACGTGCTGAGAAGGGCATCTTGGTGCCGCGATGATTACTTGATAATTGTGATACTGAAGCGGCATCAGCAGCAATTTTCAGACCGTTTAATTGAAGAGCGATAAAAGTTAACGATGGCTCGCAGCGGATTTCCAGCCATGTGATACATTTCCGATAAAATATGGAATTGAAAACATATTTGAGAATTTTATTGATTATATTTATGTATTCTGCATTGGCAGTAAACCAAAAATATACTCTACCAAACTGTTTGCCATTGAAAGAATCGAACAGACGAAAAACCGTCTTGGCTACAACTCAGATCAAATTTGCATGATACCTGGTCAAGGTGAGTGAGCTGGGAGCTGTCGCGAGACCGAGACCCGAGGCAGGTGACAGGCCAAGTTCTATACATGGACTTAACACTTCCAGGAAGAAATCTCGTTTCTTTGCGTTGTTGTTGCCAGATGACAGATAAATCATCTGAAAAGCATCAACATTTTTGGCGGTCTAGCATTTGATAGTGCTTTTTATGGTTGCTTTGTTTTTATTTTTTTTTTCACTGCCGCAATGCGTAAAATGTTTTGCGATTGTGTTCTTGGAAGACATTCGGCATATCGAATGAATGAAGCTAAAGATTTGTTAATCTGATTGGGACGTGCCCAGCGCAGAGCAGAAAGACAAAAAAACCACATTCCAGTTTCTGTCTGCGGCGAGGCAAACACACAAGACGAAACAGAATCCAGCGACAGTTATTAATTCCTATATGAATTCGCCATTAAGTTGGCCAATTACCGTCTCGAAATAGACAAAACGAACAAAGACCTCAGCGAAGGCATTGCTTTTGTTTACAACCAATAATTTAGACAGTCGCCATAACAACGGGGCAACAACATATGCTAAATTATGTAGGTGGACACGATAATTTCGGTCTGCAGACATCGACACTCCGAGCGTAAGCGTGGACCAAGAGCCAGCCAGCCCCAAGGTTCCTCCAGCCGAACCGAACCAGACGGATCTAAAACAGATTTCCAAGTCGCGCCCAAAAATAGCAGCAGAAACGTCAACGTCAACGTCCCCGTCCCGTCCCGATCCGACCCGATCCGACCGTCCCGTCGCAGTCGTTGCCCTCAGGCACATTTTATTTAAATAAAATAAATTTGTTGCCTGCTGCCTAAAAACAGCCCAAGCTGCAATTACTATACATTTTCCCAGACAAATAAACGTTGGCAGACAGTTCGCTGGACTGAGAAGCCGACTTAGTCATGTTAATGCAGGGGCCTCAGAGATACGACAGGATCCAGCTAAATTTTCAGAGGGGCCTCTGAAAGTAGGTGCTCTACAAAGCTGTCATTTCTCATTGTTTAAACTTGCATTTTAGTGTCGAATAAATTTGCATAGCTCTTGTAACGCTAATTGGAACAATTATGAAACACCTAAATGTATCTATAACTACAATTTATGAACAGTAAATAGAATCTTTGGTTATTCATTTTGGAGTTTTCCATTGATTTCAACTAGCGACTATTCAAGGAAAGGATTTGCCCACCTTTCTTGATTTAAGCCTGTCCCAACTCCGGTTTCTAGCATAACAGACCCAATAGGGCAATAGGTTATTTATAAATATATTTATTAATGATGACATATGCACAGGGCAAAGAAGAAGAACTAGGAGGTCAAAGTTCAAATGTAGGCCACACAGCCATATAATTGTGTCTTGAGAACGTTGTGCTATCAGCCTGCGTACCGTAGATGTCTAAGCATCGGACTAGCAAGCGGCTGGTCCCCGGCTCAAATCCAGCACTGATCTAAAATATCCGATTCGCAGCAGCAGAAAGAATAACCTATTCCAGGTTTGATGACGATAGCTTAAGACTAAGATAATAGAAACGGGGACCGATGGACATGGCTAGGTTGACCTGACCCATCGGAACAAGAATATTTAAGTTGTATAGGGTCGAATATGTCTCTTTCTATGCAGTGCACATTTCATGAACAAATTGTAATACCCCTCTACAAGGGTACAAAACCCTTTCTAAGCTATATTTCCGCAAGGATATTCAATATTTGACAAGCAGAAGAAATCCGTTTCTTCTTGGTATTTATTTAATTTTTCGATTCGATATATTCATGTGAAGATTCACAAGATAGTCTATGTAATTTTGTGGATCACAGAGTGAACACAACTGCATTATAAAAAAAATAATACAATTTTGAAGGTATTTGCAAGCTGCAGGCTTTGGCAACGGGTGGGTGGTGCGTCTGTGACTCCCTCGCTGCCTCTGCTGTTTTATCCAGCTCCAACAATGTTTAAGTTTGTCTCCGATTTGTTGGGCTCTTATACGTGGGTCGACGTCAAATATGGCGAACTATGCTGCCGTTGCCAGCGACAAAAACAGCCATAAACAAATAACTATGCCACTGCCGATGGCGATGGCGATTGCTGTGGCTCCGACCGTGGCTCCGACTGTGACTCTGTCTATGAGCTACGACTATACGACTCTGACTACGCTTATGGTCTGTGTGGCTTAAGCGAGCTCTTTGCGAGCCGATCATGCACACCTGAATGTGGTTCAGACAGACTATGTGGCACGCTAGACACACCCGAACTCAGCCGAACCTATCAAAGTGTGTGTGTTGTGCGCATGAGTTGAAGTGGAGCGCGATGGAGCGACGAGGAATTCGGCTCATAAAATATTTAGGTGTTTGCCGTATTTGAGCACGTCTTGCATAATTTGTACGTTTGTACTTTTAATTAAAGATATCTCAGATATATGTACCAAGTTTGTACCTTGTTTGCCCCCTCTATGGCCAAAGATTTCAGCAATGAATCGACATTGCGTTGCCACCTGATTTTTCCAAAGCTCGCCCCAAGAATTTTACAACCCCCCGCGTTGCGCATGGCCAATTTGCAAGTTTGTTTCGTTTTTTCTTCTCCCAAGCTTGAAGCGTATTGGCCAATTATGAACCATTTGGCTTGACTCGAACAGATAACATGAAAAGTTCTCTGTAATACTAACGATAAGCTAATGGATTTGTTGACCGTTTTAGCTTTTTATATATTTACCTATGTTCTCTTTTATCAGGTAGTTACAATATATTTGTTACGTGAAGAGTTTTATAACAGATATTCTTGTCTTGTTGCTAAATCAAACAATTTTTGCACGAATATATCAATCTTATCGTTAACTCAAATGAAATTTGTCGCTTTTTTATATAATTCAGAGCTCTTATAAATAATAGCAACACGTTATTTCGAATGTGGCGTCTCACAAAGTAAACGGATAAGAAGTATTGTACTTTGTGGATGCGTACTACTATTAATTATAAACCCGCATTATTAATCAAAAAGCCCGCAATTTATATAAATATAAAGTCCATAAATCTTTAAGTTCATTTATTTACTGCGTTATTTATTTATATGCATATAAATTTGTATTTTCATTAAATTGAGTTTATGTAAAACATAACCTTAAGAGGCTATTTTAAACAAAATTTTCCTTGTTTTAAAATCTTGTCCCCGACATTTACCATCGTATTTATTCAGTTATCGATTTTGTTCTCTATCGAATTCGATTACAGGACGGGCTTTATAAAGACATTTTTAAAAAAATGTTCGCAAAAGGCGTTAAGGAGTAGATGATGCTGTTTATAGCCACAATTAAAATATATATAATAGGAATCTTAACTATTATCAGTGTACTCACCCTGGCAATATTAACTGGTTTTTATGGCAAATACAAAATAATAATAATAGTAATAAAAAAAGTATATTGAAATCGAAATTCGAACAGAAGTCATCGACTTCGCATGTTGCTCACAAATGTCGATCATCATTTTGTTATTGTTTTCGTTTCTATTTTTTTTTATAAGTTTTTATGGTATTGAATTTTATTTGTTTGTCAATAAAATTTAATTTAATTATGTCCAATGCCCAAAAAAAGTGTTTAAAAGTGAGCCATAGATTAAATCTACGCCCACACATAAAAGGCGGTCGTTATTGCTTCAGCTGTTGTTGATGTTGTTGCTTTGGTTGAACATACGAACTGACAGTCTTGGCCACCCGTTTGTCGAACTGAGAGGGTATACAGTTGGGGGAAACTGTGCCAAAGTTGTTTGGATGCTCGGCAGCTTAATATTCTTTTCTTTTTCTAGTTGTGCGTTTTTCGAACACTTTAACCATTTAACTGTTTATCGTTTTGTGGCGAATTTCACGTTCTGTTCGCCGTGTTTACATTTTCGCCACGTTATCACTTATTAACCCACTTCCGGCAGCAGTGAAAAAAAATTAATTTGCAATGGCAAATGATAAAAAAAAAAAAACAGAAAAAGAACGGGTAAAGAAAAAGTATAGAAAAGAGAGAAAAAAGAACAGTAAAAACAATTTAGAGAACCTAGAAAAAATCATAAATCATCATGGCAAATTGGGCTAATGTGACTTCGTGTGAAAGTCGACTCGTCTCATCGCCACATCGTGTCTTGCATTTTCCCGCGAATTAAGTAATTTTCATTAAGTTAATTAAATTATTTGCCATTTCCTATGCGACGAGCTGGGCGTGGCCAGTTCGTTGTCAACTGCTTAGTGGGACACCTTCCATTTCGATTCGCTGCCAAATCGATTGTTAATTGAACTGCCCCACACACGGCAAATCACTTCAATGAGTTTTACCCATTTTCCTCTCAGTTGACAAATGCGACAGCAACAACAATTCTCGCACATAGATTGTTCCATGCATACATGTATGTATGTATGCAAGTCTTTATATATGTGGATGTATGTGCATTTATGTTTTTGGCCCACTTTATTTCCATTCCGCAAGCTGAGCGAGTGGTCTGTTGAAGCAATAAAAAGAAAACAATAACAACAGTTGAGTATATTGACAATAAAATACCCTATCTGAATAACTAATAACATTTGTAATATATACTGTAATATTACCATACGACTCAAGTTAAAGAAAGAAGGCTTTGCTTTATTTTATAGATAAATTGATAGGCATTTAACTTAAACATTTAACTTAACATTTTCACCAGTAACAGTTGTTGCCTTATAGGAGAAGCATAGCGAAACCCAAGTAAATATTGGGGTACCCAATTTGCATAGAGTATATTATATGTGTTATGTGCATTGGTAATTGTATCTTTTTAAAATCAATTCTGATTGTTTTTCTGTGTTCATTATAGTCGCATTTGAAGTCGCTTTTGACTATTGACAAGGTCTAGGTGCAGCCGCTGGGACAGACCCTCGATCAAGCAGACAGCTCTGGAGCGCTGGACAATTGATTG